CCCTAAAGTACCACGAAAAGGTGATCTACCCACCTTACGGGACACGATCAGCAGTTAACCACTGTTGAAAAACAACAGCTTCTTCGCCAATTTGCTCCAGAGATGTTCACGCCCGGTTGTATTGGTGCGATATGAGAGAGCGTGTTAGTGAAAATCCGAGGAAAATACATAACCAATCGCTGTAAAACTCCTTTTGGCAGATCTAATTTCATGTGTTTTTTTTTTATTTGTCAGAGGAAAATAACAAACAACTTTACACGACGATGTATCCACTAATAGTTTAATAGTGTAGCAAGTTCGCCTGTTACAAGTTGAGTTTACAAAATATGATAGGCTCTTTTCAAATATTAGGCGGGCTTGAAAAAAAAAACACTAACGTAAATATAATATAATATAAAAATACAAAGAATTTTATCCATCATTTCTTCCTGGGATACGATTCTTAAACTATTAGGCATCATTTTTACATTTTCATGGCTATTTTGGTAAAGAGAGATGATCAAACGGATTTGCTTTCTACTCTCTATATGCAATTTTCACACTGACTGCCGGAACTCTAAAGCTGGGTTTAAACAGGACAAGTCAATTGATCAACTCAGTTGAATTCAACTGACTTGAACGTGAATTGAACGTGTAAACCATGCCATTCAACTGACTTGATCAACTTACATGAATTGAAAAAAGTTGAACCAGGCTCAACTTTTCAAGCCATTTGAATTCAACTGAGTTGATCATTTGACTTGCCTAGTCTAAACCCAGCATAACGGAACTATCAATTCTATACTTTCATCTCCTCATCTATCGTATAAAAATTACCACTTCCAGTCTGTTATTTGAAATTAGCATCTTCAACTATGTAAATCGTTGACTTCACGCAGAAGTAATACTAAACATATAGTCAAAGTACATTTTTTGCTGTTTTATTTAAGCATTTCGCTAACAACCCAATTTAATTACTTCATTATGATAGCTACCAAGCCTTTGGAATTTTCCTTATTAAAGAGTTGTAAAGATTTTTCTCCCTTAGATTACTTAAATCTTTGGTTTTTATTAGTTAGGTAGGTTCCGATTCAACACATTGTAGTTTATTTTTATACCTGGGATCTTGACTTTTTTTACCTATGGGATGAGTACACGGCGAATGAGAACGACCCAAATTTGAGTTTAGTTCACTCATAATCGCCAAAAGTGCCTCGAAAAGTGCAGAAACTCAGCGATGAGTAAAGTTTGCCTCATGGTTTCCTGTGGAAAACCTAAAAAATCTGCCGGAAAATGAGGAAATTGACGAAAATTTTATTCAGTCTCGGACGAGGTCTCGGAGTAGTACCAATAGACTGAGTGAATCCAATCTTTACTTTTCTCAAATTCAGGAATTTTTCCCTGGAAAATCCTGGGAAAACATGAGGCAAATTTACTCATCGCTGTCATGTTGGAAATCCTATGTATGAGTGCTCATTGCAAGACAGCCTATATTACGTGATATAGGCTGTAATGTGAACAGGGTATAAAGTGTGATTGTTTCAGTGTTTTGTTTTCATCTTGAAAATTTTCCGGTATGGAGTTGTTTTTTTTTCCCGATGAAAACATTTTGCGTATACGTATATACGAGACGTATACGTGCGTACGATAAACGACATTGTTGGAACTACGTGTTTTGAAAATCTGAATCCAATCGAGCAAGAGGAAAGCATGAAGGGGTGTAATTTTTCATGTATTTTATGCAAATTCCCCATACAAAATTCATACTAAAAACGCCTGCTCATATTATACCCCGTACAAAATATGGCTTATATCATGTAATATAGGCTGTCTTGCAATGAGCACTCATACATCTAGTTTTCACTGGAAATCATGAGTGCTCATTGCAACACTCATACAATTCGACACATGTTTATTGGGGAATTTCCATGTTAAATTCCACATGATTTTCATGATTCATGTCCACACAGAAACAGAATCCACTCAGAATTACACATGAAATTTATGAGTCAAATGAATAGTATGTGTGATTACACATGAATTTTACGTATACACATAAGAAATATGTGTCCGACACATATATATCATTTGTTTATCACATTGCAAAAAAATCATGTGTGGGACACATACATACACACAAAAAATAATCGTTACTAAAATTAAAAATACCATGGGTAGAATTAAAAGTTTTCGTTGGTTCTTTTTGGTAGAAAGTTCGAAGCATTCATAATAAAAATGTGTAAACTGTCAAACCAAAAGTTTAAGTCTTCGTTAAATTCAAAAGTTGAAGCTTTTGAATCAAATTGTAGAACTGTCAAAAGGAAAACCAATGTTTTTAAAATGAAGTACGAACTGTTTCTGTTCAAAAGGAGTCGTTTTTATCATGACAATATATGTTTTTATCTCAAATTTGAAATTTTATCAGATTAATAGTTTTCAAGATTTAAAAAAGTACCCAAACTCATATTTGAATGATTTTTTTAAAAATAATGTTTATTCGTATATTTTCGAGTATATTTTATAAATAAAAACAACAAAACAAAACAATACATAGTTAAAATGACCATTGCAAATTTTGTCCTAGTCCGAGGAATCAAAGGAAGGTATTCGGTCCAACCTCGGGTCGACGGCAATTTCGGAACTTTCCTCTTGCTTCTATCGTTTAAAACGACGATAACAAAAGGAAAGCGGTTATGACGACGAGTGCTTTGGGAAACGTTCCCTTGACAAGGCAATCCCAATACCACTCCATGGAAACGGCATTCATTACGAGGTCTTCCTGCTGGAGCTACTTTATTCTCCATGAGCTGACGATATAGAATCTACAAACACAAAAATACAGCCTTTGAAATACAACCATTGCATACCACAAAAGTGGGACACCCACCATAGAAATATCCAGCAGACAGAAAATCCTTGTCATCGCCACCCACCACGGGAATTGACCACCATTCGAACGACCCGACCACGTACCTATACGATGTAAAAACAAATTTAATCGATCCCTCGTTCGATCCTAGAAAAAAAGGAATTTCCAACTCACCTATCATTTCCTGTTGCAGTGGCAGAATCACCATCGATTGCCACTTATCATCACTGGAGGCAGCTTTCGAACACCGATTCCACCGTAAACTTCAATTTTTTTTTTTCAAAAATTCAATTTTGGCGGCAAAAGAGATCGGTTCAGTGCTGCCAAAAACATTACTATGAAGAGGTATTTTTGACAGCTGAACAACTTTTATATAAATATAATGCACTTTTAAAATAACAAGTCAGTCATTACATGATATAGGCCCAAGGGGTAGGTGCGGAGTGCCGCACACCAATTTTGGGTCATCTTTTTTGTCAGTGTGCCGCAAGCATGCTGATTGTGCCGGTCATAGAGCAAGCTGCGATTTTTTGTAAAATACCCATCCCGGCAACCCGGTATTTCTGACACCTTGAATGTTTGGGTTTGAAATCGCAAGGATAAATCGGATTGAGGATGACGCGGGAAGGGGCGGGTGTGCGAAATTTCGGTATTTTGTGATCCATAGGGTATTAAAAGTCCTGTGTTTTATTGTTTTTATAATGCCCTCAAAGGCAGACCAGAAACCTAGCCTTTCGGCCGGAAAGAGTTGGAACCGGTAGGGAGTATTGTTGGAGACCGACTATAGAGGGTAATGAATAGACTTCTTTAATTTGTTTTGTGTGAGTTGCAGCATTATTTGAATTAAGGGTACTAATGAGGTCTGATTAACTGCCTCTTCCTCTTAAGTCCACTCTAGAACCCGAGCTAGAACCTACATTTCGTATTTAGATCTCAAAGTGAACTGCTGGTCTGAGTTTCTCTGGTATATTCAATTAGAAGATGTTCCTGAACATACAGTCAAACAGCACGTAATATTCGGAACAACTTCAACAGTTGTCCAGCATTGCCCCCATTTTATTTACAACAATCTAATGCCTTTGAGACTGTGCCGAAGCTCGGCCGAAGGTATGCCGAAAATTTGCCGATGGATGTGCCCATGCTGTGTAGAATATAATTCCGACACAATTAGTGTATACAGTATAGATTCCATAGATAAGCAGAGGCACAAAAAGTTGTTTTGGCAACCATGAAAAATAAATGATTTTACTGGCATCCGTGAAAAAACTTCATGCCATCATAGAGCTCTTCGTTGTGCAGTTTTGTTTTGTTTCGTGCGCAAAATTTCAAAATGAAGTGCAAAGCAAATCTGTGTAACAATGAACCGAGGAATGGTTCACTTTGTCTTTCGTTCATCAGTTGACCACGAAATAAATCGGAATGTGGAGTGTGGAAAGCGTTTTGTGCTCAAAATATTACAATACTTCTCCCTCAAACAACACCATGATGACGTCATGCTCGTTTGGCTACACTAACTGACAGTTTGTTTGGCTACATTAAACTTTTCCTCCGCTTATCTATGGAATCTTTAGTATGTATATAGTCTGTCCGGGGCTGGCTTGAAAATTTACTTTTTATACTTCTATTTTTGTGGTTCAATCTTGAACGAGATCCCAAAATCTACTTAAATTTGGGTTGTTTTTTATTTCCGTGATAGTATAACGAAAAAAAACATCGCAACTTTTTTCCCGGTTGTCAACTGATTTCTTCAATCACGCCTGTCGATCGTCAACATTTTGATCAGGGGTGTGAAAAATTAATAGGGGCAGCGCTGTTTTGCAATAATATGCGATGTATTTTCCATACCATTACAAATCCAAGCAGAGATTCACGAACACCACAAGCGCGTTTTTTTGTAGACAGCGATTCTCGCGCCACTTTTCAAATTGACTCATTTACATTGATCGAGTCTCTTCATCGACTGTTTAATTCGTAACTAACTCGGCAACAAAAATGTTAACTGTCGTCTTTGTCGTATTAGATGCTAGATTGTTGCTTATTCCATCGATCGGTTTGTCGATAATATCCTTACACGGCACAAGCGATCCAAAGAGAAAGTCTATGAAGAAAATCGATCAATGTAGATAGGACGTATTCAAAAGTGACGCGAGAATTTTGATGTTGAACGAACGACTGTGAGAAAAAAGGAAGGCTGCGAAAAGTTTTCCCCGTCTTAAATTTTCATTTATTTTGGAAAGATTTTCTCGAGAGTTTGAACGGTTTCTCTGGCAGTAAGATAAAGATTGCGTATTCGGTAAATCCGTCGAAGATAAATTTTCGGTGTCGAAAAGTTCGAAAATCGACTTTCGGAGTGAGAAAAATCATCAGTGAGACTAAAGAGGAAAGAAAAAGAAGGCCAAATTTTCGCTGCGCTGCTGCAGCACAGCGAGCAGTCTTCTTTGACGTTGTTTTTTTTTTCCCCTGTGCTGCTGCTTAGTGACGAACTCAAGTAAGCCAATGAGTATTGGATTGTGAAAGACGACAAACAAAGTGAAAACCTTTCTACGTTTTGTCTGAAATTTTGTGATTGAAAAAATAGAAGCATTAGAAAAATAAGCTGATTATTCCGTGACGGTAGTGTATAAAGGCCAAGGCAACAAAAGAATTAAAGATGGATTCCGACGATGAAAGTTTCGATGAGCACGATTCCGGAAATGTTTCCAGTGGGGACGATGATTTTGCAATGGACGTGGATATCAACAATCCACGGGACCGCGGCCAGCAAGAAGACGACTATCCGTTTGAGGTTTTGACGACAGAGGAAATTGTCCAGCATATGGTCGATTGTATCAAGGACGTCAACACCGTAGTCGAGGTGATTCATGAAATTTGTGTTCTGTTTTTCTACTAATAAGCTTTGCCTGAGTCGATTTTCTCTATAGTGTGTAGAAATTATTGCCCGATACTTTTTATTTTGTTTTTGTTACCTTGTCTATCTCAGCAGGGCGATTGCACAGTGTATGTTGACACGTTCATTGGGCTTTTCCCGTGAGTGCTGTTGTACTGCGAACTGCTCTTCATGATAACTGATCCAATATTTACAAAATACATTGAATGTTAGATGATAGCAGGTCAATAATATTCGATACAATGTTTGGTCTGCAAAGCTATGGTACATCTACAATGAAAATTACATTTAATGAGCTTGCTAAAATTGTTAAAATTATCCTAGTTTGTTGATCCATCAATATTATGACGTCATAGTTATTTATTAGTGCGAAATAACTTGCACGCACGACGCCACTTTTGTGACGACGTAATAATCATGTAGGCATATCATCCGTAATGGACCAATGGCTGTGGCTACAAATTCTGGTGGTCATATGATAGAGAAAGACTTTCACACGTTAGAATCCTTGTGCGAAGTTTATTTTTAACAAAAATTCCAAAATAGATTTCATAAAATACATTGTAAGATTTCGTTTTATGATTCTGAAGGGCTCTCTTCATATTTGATTGATTGGTTAATTTAGTTTTTCAACTAGTTTACTTTATTCCTCTTTTGCGGCATATTTCGATTGAATTTAATAATTTGATAAACTAATTGCGAATTCGTTTATTATCGGGGTTGGAACTAGTGCGAAACCGAACTTTTTGTCAGTGCAAACCTCAACCTGAGCTGGGTTTAACGTTTGTCAGAAAACAAGCAGACCCAATCTTGATACCCGATCCAGGTTGGAACTGAATAATAAACGGATTCGCTATAAATGTAGGCAATCTCCTTCAAAATCGTAAGAAGTTAAGAAGACCGATATCCTCTAATTTCTTGGCAATGGAAACTATTTTTTTCGCAATATTTTGTATACTTCGGCTTCAGCGACACAGAAAAACATTCTCTTGCATCAGTCGTTGCAGCCTTATAATCGTTTGTGTGAATGATGGTATTGTAAGCTATGGAACGCCAGTAAAATAATATTGAATTTTTTGCAATTAAATATACTTTGTTGAGAAAAGCTAATCAAAACAAACATTAGAGTCCCTTGATGAAATTCTATCTTGATAATTCATAAGTCAAAACAATTAAATTCCTAAGTAAGCTTATCAAACTTCAAAAAGTATTATACAATGGAGCAACAATTAGCCCCCATATTATGCTATCTTCACCACAAGCTCAAATCTTATCCCGAACAGATTACGAATGACCTAAAAATGGATAAAAAGACAGGACTGTTACAGCTAGCGGAGATTTTGTGTTTTGCGTGGAATTTGCCTTTGACGTGGATTGTGGTGTGTTTTTTAGTTCTATATGACACGAATTTTATGGAAAACTTATCAACGAATTTGAAACCATATTTATAATAGTGTATTTCAATTATCAATTGATTTTTCGTTCAGCTTTTTCTTCTTCCACTGTTCGGGTCATCATCACTGCGACCAATACATATTGATCTTTTAGCTGTGTATTAGTACCTCATTACTATGGCATTTATTAAGTTATCGTTAAATTAGTTGTTTATACGTTAATGTTTTTTTTTTTTTTTTTTTTTTTTTTTTTTTTTTTTTTTTTTTTTTTTTTTTTTACAAAACCCCACTCTCCTGACCTACTTGAGGGATGTCTGACATAAATTTAAAAAATTATTTGCATCAGCCTAATTGGCAAATCAAAGTTGGCACTCGTGGAGAATAGAAGAACTATGAAAGTGATGATGGTTTCAAAATTTTACACGGTGAGGTATACGGGTGCAATCTTAAAATGCTTGTATTTGGCAAATGGAGCATTTTATTTAAATCTGGTAAGTGGTACGTTAGTAGAAAACTTAAGGACTACTCAATAGACATATAATATAGAAAAAAATAATTTCTTTTCCGATTTGTATGTGTATACATAGATTTCAGCTTTTCTACAACTGTAGCAGCAACCAGATTTAAATAAAACGCTCCATTTGCGAAATAAAAGCATTTTAAGATTGCACTCGTATACCTCCCCGTGGAAAATATTGAAACCATCATCATTCTCATAGTTCTTCTATTCTCCACGAGTGCCAACTTTGATTTGCCAATTTGTTGTGTAATTTTGGAATATTACATAAACACATGCTATTTCAAGCATAACTTTTCAAAAGGACGTATGTAACATTGAATAGGAAATTAGAAACATTGGATAGCAATGTCTATATGAGATTATTAAATGCTATTAAAAAGTTAATGCTATTTTTTTAAATCTGTTTGTGCTATTAGTTGGATAAAGGGATAGCGTTTAAGAGAATTGTGAAAAATGTCGAGTTTTGCAAACACGGACAAGACTTTTGATAAAACAAAATCATGCACCATTTACTTGTGTACTACTCACATACACCCTGATTGATTCGTCGTTATCACACCTTGATTGTTACATACACCCTGCATGATTCGTCTATTTGACAGAAGGGTTTTCACATACGTCAAGTCAGATACACCGGTTTTTGTTTTGCAGTGAAGATACGTCGGCAGCTCGAAAAGCATTGAATAGTTGTCAGTTGGTTGGTTTATGTACATAACTACCCAGAGTTGTGAAATAATCGATGTTGAAAGCGGAGATGAGAGGGTCACCGCATTATCTGCTGTCAGATGTTATACGTTTAGTGTTTTTCGTATTAAGAAAGCGCTGGTTAGATTGGTATGTGAAGTTCAATATTAAAGTCAAGATTCAAGTGCAATTTTATTAGAATACTTATGAAATAATAAACATGTTGCTCCCGGAAATACAAAAACAAACATACAAACTTGACGCATTTGCTGATTGATAGTGATTGCTTTGTTTTTTCACATACGACTCTTCACTGTGAGCGTATCTGCAGTTTTTGTGTTATCATCAAATTTAAACAGTTAAGTCATGTTGACAATAAAAGGGTGTATATACAACATTTTAAAAACAATGATAGAAGGTCACATAGGGCGTTCACTAAATATATTTTCCATAATGCATTACAATTTCAAACCTTGTTTTTCATTAACTCGTAGGAAAAGCATGTATTCTAACTATTCGATTAGATGCAAAATATCGATTTGTTTATTTTTGCGACTTACGTCCTTTTGAAAAGTTATGCTTGATTTATTCTAGAAAATTCGAAAATTGTCAACTTGACCCACTTGAATAATAAACGCATACTTGTCCCACTGCACTGAAAACCGTCACTTTTACTCTTTCATATGGAGAAATTTCTGAAAGCGTAGGTCACTCAGCGCATTAGTAACCTACGCTTTTAGAACTCACTTTCTGAGTAGATTAGTTTCCAGTGTGGAACAATTTAAATAAGAAACTCGATGAAGAGAAACCGATCATCGCAGAGAGGCTGAAAACTTAATTTATAAAACGTATTTTTTTTTCATGTTTTTATATTAAATTTGTCTTGGAATTTGTAGAATATATTTGGCCGTATTCAGCAAACAAACAGTGAATATTTATCAAAAATTGTAAAATCTCACTTTTATTTTGAATTAAGTACTACAATGTGGCAACAATCATATAGGACGTTTTGACTAGTCAAGTTGTACTTCGGACATGTTACATTGGACGATTTATCTCAATGTCATAATTAATTGGACGTTGGACGTTTAATTATACATGATACTAGATTCCCTTTCACAGATTTCAGAATAGAGTACCTAACACCATAAAAATGACTGGTACTCTTACTTATAACCTTAGATTGGTTTTCGATGCCCCGCCTTTAGAAAATGAGCGGCAATCATGCTAGGCAGACAAAATATACGAAGTAACAATCTAGCACCTACATTCTAAACTGTACATTGACATTTTTTTACCTATGATTATGTTAAATAAAATAATTTAAATGTAAATGGGTGTTTTTGTAGAACATACTTACTTAGGACATTTTGAAAAAGTACTCGAGAATAAGCGAGCAATGTTAGATGTGTAAGGAAAATAAGTCATTGTAGTAACAATTTTAGATGGGGCTACATTAATCCTTGGGAGGCTGTTTGCCCCCTAGTCTCACCGTATTTACGCCAATGATTGATTATCCGTAAATAATACCGCAGGTTCGGTAAAATAAAAATAAATTTTACAAACACAATTACAAATCGATTTGTAAAAATTTACCCAACGGGTAATTGGGATAACATGTCTTAGATAATTAAATATTTTTCCGGTAATTTCCAAAGCACGACCGCATTGTTGTCGTACACACTTAGTTTTTTTCTATCGAGATCGGCTGTGCAAATCTCGGCAACAAAAGTTTTACTGAGATCTCAGCAAACATTTCATTTGTTTGCTGAGATTCAGCTAAGCATTATCCGAGACTCAGTAATTAAATGTCACTTTTGCTGAGATCTCAGTGAAACTTATTTTTATCGAGATTTGCACAGCCGAGCTCGGTAGAAAAAACTAAGTGTGTAGGACAACGAGATTAGGTTTGCTTGCCCATTCATGAATATAGTAATAACAAATTCATAATTCATAATGAAATTGAGCGGTTATTGAATTAATCCTAAAATTAAGGGGCAACCGGCGTAGTGGTTAAAATTCAAACCTCTCACGCCAAAATCACGAGTTCAAATCTCACCCCGGACAAGTCACGAATTTGCCGCCCAAGAATAAAGTGACTATAATACAAGGAAAAAATCCAAAAATTAAGTTTCTATTTCTATTAAATCAGTTCCTTTTTATTCATAAATAGGTTCCAAACATGTTCACCCAATTTTCGGAAACTTACTAATGTTAGTCATGGCAAAACAACTTAAAAAATCAAAGTGCACCTGACAACACAAATCTTTATGTTTCAGAACTATGACAAACAAGAGACTTTCAACTGAAAGTTATTTAAGCTAACTTTATTCAATGTGGTCAATTAAAAATCTATAAAATAGCAAACG